TAGAAATAGCACATGCACATGGCTTTGCCTAATAGAAATTTATTCTCTCACGTTTTAGGACGCTAGTTGTTAGAATTCAGGGCGCCAACTCTGAGGGAGAGCTTTCTTTCTTTTTTAGTTTAGGGGAAGATCTTTGTCTCCTTTTACCATCAGTGGATTTCACATCTCTTGAAACCTACAAGTGTTTTTTTGATCTCAGTATTCCTCTCAAAATCTAGGATCCTGGGGCCAAAGGACATATTCTTACCCTGGCTCTTTTTCCTTCTTGTTATTTTAGGTGCTACTAAGTCAACTATGACTCATAGCGACCCTATGAGCAATGGAACTGAATCCTGCCCTATCTTGCACCATCCTCATCATCTCAGATACACTTGAGTGTGTTGTTGATCCCTCTCTTCTATGCTGGTTGGGTTAGTTCCTTTTACATCTCCAAAGAGAATGACTCAAGATACATACTAATCCATGAGATTGCATCCTGCCTTATTAACTTAATTTCATCTGATCCTGCCTCATTAACTTCATGCTGGTTTTAGGTGCTATTAAGTTAAACTGCAACTCTTAACAACCTTATAAACAACAGAATGAAACCTTAACCTCTCTTGTTCTACCATCATGCTCTCCACAATGCTCAATCCCATTGTTATAGTCACTGAGTTGATATCTCATTGAATTCTCCCTCTCTGCCATTCCAATCATGGTATCTTTTCCCAGTATGCAAAAGTCTGTGAGAAAGTTTTCTATCCTTGCCTCGAAGAAGCACTTCAATTGCACTTCCTCCAAGACAGATTTGTATGTTCATTTGGTAGTCCATAGTCCATAGTGCAAAGACATCAGTTCTTCAGTCTTCCTTATGCATTGTCCAACTTTTGGATGCATATGAAAAACAATTGAAAATGCCATGGCTTAGGACAGATGCATCTTAGTCTTTAAACATATACCCTTGTTCTTTAGCACTTTGGAGAGGTCTTTGACAGTAGATTTTTCCAATGCAACACATCTTTTGATTCCTTTACTACCGCTATCCTGGATGTTGATTGCAGATCTGAGTAAAAAGAAATAATTAACAATTTCAATATTTTCTCCATCTATCATAATGTTTCATACTGGTCTAGTTTTGAGTAATTTTGTTTTCTAGATATTGAGATGTAATCCATATTGAAGGCTGTTGTTGTTGTTGTTGTTGTTAAGTGCGTCGAGTTTTAGACGACTCATAGCGACCCTATGAACAGAAGACCTGAACACTTGTATAACTTTCGTCGTTTCTCCAAGTTCATAGAGTTTCCAGAGGCAAGCTATTTTGGAAGTCAATGCCACTCCTGTTTCCAAGCTTCTTTTAATTGGGGAGCTCCACCAAACACTGTCCACAATGAGTAAGCATTATTGCATTTGAAACATCAGTATCACAGTGTCTAGCATCACAGCAGCCACAAGTTACAGCTTTTCTGAAGTCAGTGCTTCAAGTTTTTTTTTTTATTTGCAGCAAATAGATAATGTCCTCTATATTAGAGGTTCTTGATCAGTCTTCCTCCAATTCTTGATGCCTTACTTTTCTATATATAATTCTTCTCAAAATATTTACTCAGCACACAGATTGCATTGGTAGGAGAAAAGATAAAACCCTGAAGCTCACCTTTCCTGATTTTGGTAAAAGGAAGACAGGGCACAATTCAATTGATAAAAGATCTCAATGGCACTATGCTGAGTGAGAAACAGCTAAGAGCAAAAGATTTCATGATTCTGACCTCAGAGACTAAAATGAAAAAAAAAAAGTAAATTAAAAAAATGATTACTGTTTTCAAGGTATAGATGCAAGGCAGCTTTGGGGAGAAATTCTAACTATAAAGATCTATAACAAGAAAGATTTAATGGTTATTAAAGATAATTAAAGATTTACTTCATGTTATATGGAAAAATAGAAAGATGTGGTTTGCTGTAGTAATCTGGCTAAAGGAAAACCAGCTAAGAGCATTCCTACAGGATTTTTCTTAGTCTGCAACTGCTACAGCAATGCTGTGTAACAAAATCCCTACAAGTGATTCAAAACAATAAATAACACGTACTGTTCATGCCCATAGGTTTGCAGTCTGGCTGAGATAGCTCCGCTTTGTGCTAAGATCAATGGTTAAGACTATACTTAAGACTCTTTGTTCCATCTTCTTTTTATATGCCTTTTTTTTCTTTCTAAAATACTTGAAGTCATGCTCGATGCCTACTACATGCGGTTAACTAGTAGGCTAACAGAATAAAGCCAGGCCTTTCTGCTCACTTTAGTTGAATTATCTATTTACTAAGAGTTAGATATTTGCCTCCAGATATATTTCTGCCTGCTGTACTTTAAGCAGTCAAATTATGTAACTAACTTTGAATTATTTGATAAATATGACTTAAAGAAAGTGTTATCCAGGTAAAAATTACATTATACTCCTTGGAAAAATGCAACAAAAGGAATTTTAAAATATGGCAAACCTGCTCTGTAAACTTGGACTCAAATGGCAGCAAATATTGTGATAAAATGAGATATTCTGAATTGATAAAAATATGTTTAATTGCTCTTATTTTTTTTCTCCAAGTGTTTTTTTAAAAGGTATTGTAAGTATGCAAAAAGCCAAAGATGAGATATGCTGGATTGTTTAGCAGTGAGCAGTTAGTTGGTATGTAACCAAGACTCAACATTTATTCTTTCAAAAGACTTTGACCTTACATTCAAATATTGGTGAGTGAATTTACACTTAATCTTTTTAAGTGAAAAGAAACCGTTGATGGTATCTATGATTATTATTTTCTCACTAAGTATATCTTCATAGAAGATAAAGGATCTTCTAAGTCTACACCATTCAGAAATAGAAGAAATCAGACAAAAACTCCAATGTTCTTGAATATAGTGTTTTATAACCTTGTTGTTGTTGTTGTATACCACAAAGTTAGAACCAACCAATAGCTCATCCTCCACTGGGTTTTCAGAGACAGTTAATTTCACAGAAGGAGATTGTCCATTTTTCTCCCACGGAGCAGGTGGTGGCCTTGAACCACATGTCTTTGTGATTGCAGCACAGCTTCTTGCCATTAGGCCACCAGAGCTCCTTACTGAATTGTATTCTAAATCATAGAATTAATCTCTTCAAAATTTTAGAGACTTACAGAGTAAAACATTAAATATCTCTATTGTGTCCTTGCTGTTGTTATTATGTGCTGTTGAGTCACTTGCGACTCAAAGCAACCCTATGTACAAAAAGCCCTGAAACCTGCTCTATCCTGTGCCAACCTTATTGACTCTGATGCCCCAATTACTGAATAAATCAGTCTCATTGAGAAGCTTCCTCTATTGCACTGTTCCTCCACCCTTCCAAGCATGACATCCCTCTCCGAGGACTGGTTCTTCTTTGCAACATGTCCAAAGTATGTCAGATGAAGCCTCAGAATCCTTGCCTCCATGGAGCAGCTTGGCTTCACCCTCTCTAGGACAAACCTTTGGAAGTAGGAGTGGCATTCTTTTCTTAAACAACGTGCCTCCAGAAACTCTATGAACTTTGATAAATGTTGATAGTTGTAGAGGGGCTTCAGGCCTTTTATTCATAGAGTCACTATGAGCATGCTCAACTCCAAGACAAACAACAATAAAACAATAAAAACAGGACAAACCAGTGTGTTCTCCTGGAAGTCTATGGTATATTCAATACACTTTTCTAGCACCACAGCTCAAAGACATAAATTCTCTTTTGATCATCCCCAGTCATTGTTCAGCTCTCTGATGCACATCAAGTAATTGAAAAGACTATGGCCTGGATTAGGCACATCTTAGTCTCCAGACTAACATCATTGCTCTTCAGAACTCTGGAAAGGCCCCAGACAACAGACTTTCCCAATGCAATTTGTCTTTTGATTTCCTGGCTGTCGGAGTGTTGATTGTGGAACCAAGCAAACTAAAGCGTAGTTGATTCTATATTAAGCTGCCTGGAAGCTGCTTTATATGTTGCTAACTGAATACAAAAGAGATAGTAAATGTCTACTTTCATAATAAAGTAGTACTAGTTTCATAATAAGGACTTACATTTTATTAGTTCACTTTATTTTTAGAATAAAACAAGAGATTATTTATCAAGAGAATTATTAATTTCAATAGATCAAAGAAGAATAGTTTTTAAAAATAATATTTTAACTTACTCTCATTTTCATTTTCTTTCTTGAAACTTATGACATTCTCTTGGAACACCTAAATTTTATTGTTGTTATTATGAGCCATGGAGTTGGAACCCTATTCCTAGCTGACCCTCCAGCAGGTTTGCAGAGGCTGCCAATTGCATGGGAGTAGACTGCTCATTTTTCCTGCAGAGGAGCTAATAGATTCCACTGTTTGATTTTGGATTGACAACAAACTTCTTGTCCAGGAGGTCACCAAAACTCTTTTAAATTTTAGTAGCTTTCTGATAAATTTTATTAGGTTTCTTTTTATCTTGTAGATGTGGACCAGGTCTTACTTCATAGCCTGCTTGTAGATGACAGCAGGAGGTTGCTAATTGACCTAATGGTGATATCGGTAAGTCACAAGGTCTGGCCACTCAATATTCATTCTCTAATGGCAGTCTTGACAAGGCTTTCTTTCTAACTCAGTATTTATAAGCCCAAGTTCAACTCTTTGGCAAAAGGTGCAGGATGAGGCTATTACTTACATGAGGTCATTGTTAATATAATCTTATGGTAATTGAATAGAAAAGGAATATTTTAATTACACCCTCAACTATTCATGTATCAAAGCAAAGTTTATTCATTTTGGATAAAAAAAAGAGGGTTTATCCCTGCCTTTGGGGATAAAATTCTGTGATTTCAGATGCAGACATCTTTTAAACAAAAGAGGAACACTGTTAAAATAATTTCAAAATAAAGGAACACTTCAGTAACAGAAACAAGGTTACTGAAGGCAACCTTACTTATCACCCACTAGTTTTCTTAAAGCCTCTGTGAACTTAGAAGCCACTTGTTATTGAAATGTAAATATACTAGACTTAGGAGTACTCCTTCATCAAAGCAATGATTTTACTATACACCCGCTGACTGGCATCAAGGCCCCAGATGAAGTCAAAGTGGTTCCAGTCTGGTAATAGACTGAAGTAACTGAGATTTCTGATTTTAGGGAGGATCCTGGCCACATCCTTTGGTGTTACAAGAACGTCATGTCCACCAGCCCAAATCGCAGTTGGCACCTTCATGGCAGTTAAATCATATAGTGGGGGTTGACTCTATGAAAGACGAAAAATAAATTAGTGAGAGAACAGTCGTATCAACAGCCAAACTCAGATCAATAGAGAAGCTATTGAGCACCTACTGTGACTATAGCTCTCTTAGGCACTGTTTGAGATAGAAAGGCAATATGCAATTGTCCTTTTCCAAAACTCCCCTGTTAGCAAAAATCAAGATGGACAAGACAGTTAAAAACACATGTACATACAAAATAGAGTAAGTTATAGGTTAAAAACACTTCCTAAAATAAAATGGTAGACTACAAAGGAATTATTTCAGTTGGGGTTTCATAGAAAGAAGACTCATTTTTTAACAACTCTGGAAGGATAGTTGGATTTTGACCAGTGGAAATGGGGTTGGGAAGGCTTCCTAGGAGGCAAGGAGATTTTGTAGGCCATGGTCAAGAATGACAAGCTGTCCAATATACGCGGAGGATGAAATGTGTTAGCAAGTTCTGTATGAAACAAGGTTTAAAAGCACATAGTCAAGTTCTGACTAGTCTAAGGTATTTACAGATCTTTCAGGTGTTTGGGGTGGGGTGGTCAAGAAGGTTTCTTTTTCAGAGTTCAGTGTCTTAGAAAGAATGGTTTGGCATCCATTTGTGGGATGACTTGAAGAAAAAATAGGTTAGAAGTAGAAGGTTCTGAAAAACTCTAGACGAGAGGTGTGGATGTGCTGTGGAAGGGATGGATAATGGAGGCCGTGTTGTTAATCTTCTCGGTTGGTTCCAGTTTCTAGCAGTTCTCTGTACGACAGAATGAAGTATCATCTGTGTCTGCACCATGCTTCCACTGAAGCTACGGAGATGGTCAAATTCTCCAAAGGAGAATATTGTGAACTTTGTGAAATATTGGCAATGTGAAAAGGGTTAAGTGAGAAATAACGAGTGATGAAAATAAAATAATAAGTATATAAATAATAAATAATAAAATAATTAAAAAGAGAAGGAAAATATCAGAGATCTCTGTGTTTTGGTAATCAAAAGTTGATGACTCACAAGACAACTAGGGTAACTAATGTATTTCAGAAGATGAGACTAGGCAATTAGTAATTCAATCAACAAAAATGTTAAATTCTATCGGTTACTATAGAATTGTCTTTACGGAACTGGGCTCCATAGGGTTTATCATGATATTACAGGAGTAAGTCACCAGACCTTTCTTCTGAGGCACATCTGGATGACGGAATCATCAACCTTTCACTGAGTGTTTCATCAGCCCAACCACCCTATACACCATTAAATGTCACTGGCAACTTGAAACAGAGTAATTACAATAGAAAGATGGAGGGTAGAACACACTTTTGCAAGACTAGGGAGTGTTTGGAAGCGTTGAAGACAGGGAAACATTGAAAGTTTTTGTTTTGTTTTGTTTTTTTTTTAAAGCCAGCCTATTGACAAAAGCACACCCAAGGAAAGAGGCCTTGAAAGCTACCAGGCTGAGTGGAACCTTGTTGTTTATTTCTTAAGAAGAACAAGGGTGCTTTAAGACAATAAAAAAAGGAAGGAAAGAGATGAGAGAAGAAAGGATGGGAGGGAGCAAGGGCATAGGTCCAAGCCTACTTGATAAAATCAGAAACATTATTCTGAGAAAGAAAGGAAACAATGAGGACAATAAAACCATTTGAAGTAGATTAGAGGGAAGTTGAGAAATTGCTTTCACTTAACAAATACATAATTTTGTTGTGTGGTATCAAATAGAATACTCACAGTGAACTTACAAACAATAGAGTGAAACCTTGCCCTATCTTGAGTCAATCTCAAGTTTTAGCATACTAGAGCCCATTGTTAATAGGCAATCCATTTTGTAGAGGGTAAATTCTGGTCAAGAAAATCACCAAATGAGGGAAACACCTGCTTGCATAAAGCTTATTTGGGCTAATCCACCACACTTTTTATTTTAACTCAGAAAACCAGGGAACAGGTATTGTGTTGGGGACTTGAAGAGAGGGTAAACTGTTGGGACTTCTTATCCTGAAGGAATGTGTTTAAAATGGATGTAAAATATTTTTTAATTTACCAACAAATAAAATGGAATTTTCCTGGAGTCAGCTAACAGAGAATTCTGAGGGCATTGACATTTCACCTATACCTTATTACTTGATTATACTTGACTGAGTGTGTGGTTTTGTTCCATTTCTTGTCAATATATAATATATATTATATATATTGTTGTTATGTGCCGTCAAGTTGCTTGCAACTCATAGCGACCCTATGTACAACAGCCCTAAATTCTGCTCTGTCCTGTGCCAATCGCACTGTCTCCAACACACCCATCCCTATTACTCCAGTCACTGAATCAATCCACCTCATAGAGGGCCTTCCCCTCCTGCGCTGTCCGTCCACCCTACCAAGCATGATTTGCCTCTCCAAGGACGGGTTCCTCCTTACAACATGTCCAAAGTATGTTAGACCGAGCCTCAGAATCCTTGCCTCCAGGGAGCCGCCCATGTTTAACCCTGTCCAGGATGAATCTGCTTGTTTTCCTAGCAGTCCATGGTACCCTCAATACTATTCTCCAGCACCACAGCTCAAAGGCATCAATTCTCCTTCTATCCTCCTTAGTCACTGTCCAACTCTCTGATGCATAACAAGTAATAGCAAAGACTATGGCCTGAATCAGACACACCTTAATCTCCAGAGAGACACCATTGCTCTTCAGTACTTTGGAGAGGTCCCTAACAGCATACTTTCCCATGGCAATGCACCTTTTAATTATATAGATCTAGAGATATAGACATATAGATATATAGATATAACACATTCCCAATCAAAGAAAATAAATAAAACAGAAATATGCAAAGTCCAAATTGGAAGTTCTGCTTTTTCTTTGTCATCTTGTTCCCTTCCAATTCTGAGGGTGACTCAAGCTAGGGAAAGCTCTGATCTGACATTCATTCATAGAGTGGCTGTGCATCCTACTAGATTTCACAACACTTACAAACAAGAAGGAAGTCTCTACCTTTGAAGGTAACTACATTTAACTCCCCCCACTATAATATTTATAAGCATTTGTAAGTGTAGTATATAGTAGGTAAGTACATTGTTAGGAATAAGGACACTTGTGAATATACAATGCATATTTGAGGGACATCCAAAAGCTCTGGGGTTAACAGAAATGTTTTATATCTTGGTTGTGATGATGGTTATGCCAATGAATAATTCAACCTTAGACTGATAAAAAACAAAGAAAATTTACATAGCAAATTGCAAATGTGGCATTTGTAGTTGTATTAAGAACCTGTAGAATCAGCTGAACAGTCAGCTCCATTATTGAGAAAACTGCTGTTTTGAAGTTAAAAATAAACTTACCTGATGTGTGATTACATTAAGAAATAGTTTCCTGATACAGGCCATGGTCTTCGCAATCACTTGTTATGCATCAGAGAGTTGGACAATGACCAGGGAGGATAGAAGGAAAATTGATGCCTTTGAGATGTGGTGCTGGAGAAGAGTATTGAGAATACCATGGACTGCTAGGAAAA